ATAAGAGTTGTGTCTCTTGATTATTAATACTATGAGCACACACTTAAATAGTATGAAAAGTGAAAACAGACGAATCAATTAGTTGGAATTGTCAAGAAGAGAGAAAGATGGAAGGAGACACGTATGTTCGTATCGAAACTCCATCCCATCTCAACAATTATAAAATGCAAAACAGAGCATCATGGATTAGTTGTATGTTCCATCAAATCTCCCTCCAGAATATTGTGTTATCAAAGTTTCTTTCTAGGACAAATCTCTTTGATGATGCGTTATTGGAGAAGCTGTTATGACGTTGAAGATATATTACCTATTAACTTTTTGAATACAATTCTGACCGAGCACCCGAATAGCAAAGACATTATAGACTTCACATTTTCTATGGATAAGAGAGAGGGTTGGGCGTTGTGGCAATGTGTGTTTTGATAGTTCTCGAGTCTTGGTATGTTTATGTTCACGTTATTTTTTCATTAATCTACAGAATTAAAGATTTAAACTATCGTCATCAATTTAAAACAATTTCTTTGAAATTGCATGACAATTTAATCATTCGTTCCCCAAGAATTTTGACCAAGTCTTTTGAAATGTGAAGATGGGCGTTTTTTATTTATTTTTCCGACCAAACTATACGGGTTATCCAATTCTCGAACCAAGGGGTGCCGATCGGTTTAAGAGACAATTTGCAACATGTGGAACTGCAAATAAATATTTTTCGTATTGTAGACCGAAAATGTTCTAAATTCTTTTCATATTTGGACCATTTAATAAACATGAATGTACCAAAATACACTGAACATCCTACAATTAACTGGTAATTTTCATTAAAAATCAAAGAAAATTAAAACTTTGTTTTTTTTTCAACGTTTCAAACAAAACAATTTTTTTATTGTCGAACAGAATCGAAGCGTACTTTTATTCAGTGTGTGAGGGTTAAGGTTCCCCTCTGATTAAAGCTCCCCGAAGGTTAAAGTTCCTCCTCTTAGTGTTTAGCTGCTCTTAATTTGCTATAAAAAAAAATACTAATGTTTAGAATGTTTTAATTTGGTAAAAATATAAATGTTATATTATAAATTAAAAAAATATTAGTATAAAACGAGTATTCGATTATAACATCTTCTTATATAAATCTACAAACATTCATGAATGAAAATTTCCACACTCCTTTTATGAAATTTTAATGTTTATTTTTTATTACTTTTCCGTTGATAATTGCTTATAAAATCTATTGTT